CAGACCCCTCGGGCCCCCCCCCTCCCCTCCCCTCCCCCGACTCTCCCTCTGTCTCTCCGTCTCTCTCTGTCTGTCTCTGCCCATCTGTCTCTCCTCCCCCTTTCTGGATGACTCTCTCCCTCGCTCTTCCTTCTGTTACCCAGATCCTGACCCCCCAATCCTCCCCCACCCCCTCTCTCCCGGTCTCGGCTTCTCTCTGGGTCTCTGTCTCTGCCGCTTCTCTCTGGCTCTCTCTCTCTCTGTGTCTCTCCAACTTCCTTCTGCCACCAGTCGCTGCCTCCCCCAAACCCTGCCCTCCCCCATTCTATCTCCCAGTCTCCCGGTCTCTCTCCGCGTGTCTCCTCGGCTCTCTGTCTCTCTCCCTCCCTCTCTGGATTTCTCCTTCTGGCTCCCCAGCTTCCTTCTGCTACCCAGACCCTGCCCCCAGCCCTCTCCCTCCCCCACCCTCCTCTCCAGGCTCCCCATCCCTCTGCAGCTCCCCTCCCCCTCCACCGTCCTCCAGCTCCGCACTTCACCCAGCGCCTAGCACCAAACTGTCTCCTCACCTTTTTTTTCCATCCCGACCCTCACTCCCTGGAGCCCACGCGCGGAGCTGCCCCTCAGCTCCCCTCCACTGCAGCACCCCATTCCCCAAACGCCTCCTCACCTCCGTCCCCGTCCCCCAGCCGGCTCGGACGCCTGGGTCCCTCAGTGCTGGGGGAGGGGAAGCAGCGAGAATTGGGAGCCTAAAGGGGTTTTCTGGGGGGTGCTGGCGGGGGGCGCGACGCCCACTCCCCAGGTGCAGCGGAGAGTTGACCTATCGCTGACAGGTGAGACCGGTCTTCTTATTAATGGGAGGTGGGTGGGTACAGAATTAAGGCTCTGCGACCCCCTTCAGTTTTGGAGAAAGGAGCTGGTCCCGTTTGGAAGAAGGGTGGCCACCCCCCTCCTGTCCGAAGCTCCAGGACTGGGGGTCCCCGTTCCGTCCTCCTTTGCAGTGGTGACGAGGGACAACATGAACAAGCGTCCGTAAAGCCAGATTGTCCCCCCAATTCGCAAGACGAGGAGATCTTTAAATCTTTTTGTTTCTTTTTGTTGATGGAGAATTTCCCTCCTTCCCCTCCCCTCTCCTCTCTTCCCCGGGCAGGCGCAAGGGCCCAGCAGGGGCAGGGGCATGGGGGCCAGCTCAGCCCTGGTGGAAGCAGGACGTGTTAAGACAGCGGAGTGGCAGTGCTGGTGGCCAGGGGCACAGATCTGGGGAGAAGAGACCGAGAGATCAAGAGGAGGGATACCCAGCATCTGGGGGAAGGAGAGGAGGGGCCGGCCTGAGGACGGGGCCAGGGGCCAGGCCTGGCTGGCGCTGTGGGAGGAAGGGGCTGCCTGTGGGCAGGCAGGAGTGAGGTGGGGGAGGAAGCTAGGTGTGGGGCACTGGGCCCGGTTGCCATGGAGACACCCCCCATAGACAACCTTTTTCTCCAGCCCCTCCAGGGAGCAGACCCAGCCTGGGGCCAGCTGATGGGGGGCCGTGGAGGCTGGGAAGGCCGGGAAGGCCAAGGTCACCCCGTCCGGACCCAGAGTGGTTTCTTTTCCCCTCCTCTAAGGCGTCAGGGCTCTTAACTGTGGGGGGTTTGGAGGCAGAAGTCCAGCAAAGAGTGGGGCCAGGAAAGGGCCGGCGCTGGGGTCAGCCAGGGGAGGTGGGCAAGGCAGGGCCAGGCCTGCTGGTGGGAGACCCTGCTGGGGAGGAGAGGTTGGCTGGTGGGTGCCCTTCCACTGGGCAGACAGTTGTATCTCCCGGACCGAATCTTTTCCTAGAGGAGCAGCGTGGAGAGAGTGCGTGAGCCCTGGAGAGGGTACCGTGCATGTCTCTGCACGGCAAAGCTGGGGCAGAGCGGGTGTCTTCCCCAGAAGAGAGAAGAGTTCCCAGGAAGGGGCTGGGGCAGGGTGTTTCCCTGGGCCCAGGAGGGCCGAGCTGCAGCGGGTGGCGGAAGTGGGCACGAGAGAAGGGGATTCTTCATGATGTCAGAGGAGCAGGAGGGCGGCCTCTTGCACGTTGGAGACAGTGGGGTTGGCGGGGAGCTGGGCGAGCTCAAGTTGGGGGCCTGTGCGGTGAAGTCGGGAGGGCTGCTGGGAGGGACGGGAGGCCCAGGGGCTGGCACAAGGGCAGGGGTTAGGGCTGGGCTGCAGGGCTGAGCGGGCAGCAGCGTGGGCACAGGTCAGAGGCTATGAAATTTCTGAATGGAGACAATTTGGGGTCTGGAGGAAGCGGTTCTCGCGAGTAGGAGACGGCTCGCTCACGGGGCTTTTCTTAGTGGAGGAGGACGTGGCAGCTGTGAGTTTGTCTAAGGTGTAGCTCGCGGGCCAGGCCAGGTTCCCGCGTGGAGTGAGGGAGTGTCCTTGGGTTGAAAGTCTAGCAGGGGTTCTGGAGAGGGAGGCCATGGTCCTGGGCAGACAGTGGGGCTGTCTGAGGGGCGTTCTCCCGCCCTGGGGCTCTGCTGTGATGCACACTGGAACCGCAGGAAGTGGGTAGAAAGGGAACCTCTGGGGCCCATCCCAGGCCAAGCCCTGGGATTCTCCAGTGGGACTTGGAAGCTCCTCTGCTGAGCCCGAGGTGTGCTGGGGTTGCACCCCTACTCCTGAGATGGGGGACCAGGGGGCCCGGGAGTTCCCAGCAGGAGCCTGCAGGTGGGTGGGGTATGCCAATTGTGCAGATAATGAGGGTAAGTTGAGGGGCCACCGGGAGATTTCTTTTTCCTAAGGGGAGGAAACTACAGGAGAAAAGTGAAACTTGCCAGGATGGTGGAGGTCACCCCTCCTAAAGAGACTGGGGTCCCTAAGTGGGGGGAGGCTGGAGGCAGAATTGGGGAGACAGGGAGGGCCAGAGGAGGGGAGGAGATGGGGTTTGCAGGGGAGAGCGGGGAGCACCCTCTGCGCCGGAGACTGGCGGAAGGTGGGGGGTCTTCTAGGTGATGGAGACAGGGACAGGAGGGGGCCCCAGGAGAGAGCTGCAGGACCGGGTGGGCTCTGTCCCCCAGGGCCACAGCAGAGACTTCTTCTGGAGCCAGTGCTGGGGCATAGTTGCTTTGGGGGGCAAGGGGTGTGGAGGAAGGCCACTAACCCTGTCCCACTCTGCCCTCCACCAGCTGGAGACCATGGCTGCCCTCTGACCCCCTCCC